CCCTCTCTGCTGGAGGGAGGGGATTTCAGCAGAAATTTTCCCCAGCAAAGCAAGCACGCCACTTACTTCTTGCCTAGTAGGCACCAGTGTCTGCTAACGAGGTACCGTTGTTCCAGACAAATACTGCCAGCCTCTCGAAAATGTGATTTTGATCCCTCCTGAGCCTGTACATGCAGCTCTGAAATTGCATGCATGCCTACGCTGAATTCTGACTTGTCCATTTTAGGGGACCCAAAAAAAAAAGGGTGGGAGAGGGGATGTTCCTTCTTCAGCGCTCTGGCTTTTTCAAACCTAATTTCTCTCTCTAGTACATTTCTCAAAAAGCCTGACACATCCTCCACACGTCCCTAATAGACAGCCACTTTATATGTCCTGGGGAAATGTTCCTCCAATTTCCCGAAGTATAGTCATCAGCAGCGATGCTCTCTAAAACACATCAGACAGGCACAACATACTGTCCACGGCGCTTTTACGAATTACAGTCTCGCTGGGGAATGGCACTTAATGCATTTCATTCCACTAGGACAGTTAGCTCGCGACTAAGAAGCCCTAGCTGTATTACCAATATGATTAGTAAAAGGGTATTAATATTTAAAGTGGCCATTAGCACCACCAGTGCGGGAAGGAACGTAGGTAATAGTACAAGGATTGCAAGAAGTGGTTTGAAGGAGGCTACTCGTGGCTAAATATCACCAGACAACTCCAAGGAGGACTCGAGCAGTGGAGAACTGTAATTAGATGTAAGCCCACCCACCTGGTTAAACTGGGATTGTTTCAAAAAGTCTGATTTTAGCTCCAATTTTTCACAAGGAGCTTTGAGGGAAAGGGGAAAAAGAAGTCCTACAGTCTTAAAATGAACAAACAAAACCCTGCTGGAGCTGCCAGTGTGAGAAGAAATAGCATTTGGCAAATGCTCATCTATCATGATCCTCTCCTCCTCACACAGATGGGGGGTGAGCAGACAGCAGGGGATACAGCCCCCACCTGTAGCACGGTGCTCGTGCAGCCACCATTCCCCTCTCCGCTCTCCCGTAAAGCACTGCACAACCTGAAGGCCTGCAAGACTTATTTTTTTTATATTCATTTTTTAATCTTAATATTCCTGTGGCCATGCTCAGGGACCACATAAGCCTGTCCTGAGTAAGTGTCTCATTAACTCTCCCGCTAGTCCGAAGGGAAGCGAGAAGCGAACCACGTCATGTGCCGGCTCACGCTCGTCTTGGCCATTATTTATTCAGTTATCAGGTTATCTGCTATATATTATTTATGTGCCATGAATATTTACTAGCGATGGGGAGGAAATAAATTACCTGCTGTCTGCATCTATCTGCCTTTGTTAAACCTTCCCCTCGCCCCCTGGCAGTGAATGCTTCCCCACCCTGGCACCGCGATCCATCAGCCCCCAGAGACTTCATCAGCCTGCGCTCCCTAATTGCCCTAATGAGCAGTACCCAGACACAGCCCTGCTTTTCCTGGAATCGTTTTTTGGGACTTTCTCATGAGGGCGCAGGTCACAAGCAGCAACACAAGCCAGCTCAGATACGTCTGGAGGAGGTGCCCTTCGTTTGCCACCTCTTTTGGCCAAAACCCACCACTAAGCACGGAAAGCGATGTGCAGACCCTGCAGAAAGTGGCTCCAACATCCCCCAGCCTTGGCCCCAGCACTTTATAACTGCACCCCCACCATGACATCCAGGACAGTCTCCATCTACCAAGGAAAATACAGCGATAACTGGGAATTTATGGCTCTCCTTCCAACACAACGGGAATCGCAGTCTTGGGTAGGATCACAACACCCAGGACAAGCATTTCACTGCTAATTAAAGCCCACTTGATCACCTGAATTATTGCACTCAGCTACACACCACCTTACAGACCCCTGATGGTTAAAATCCTGCTTGGCAGCCAGGGGCAAGCAGCATGCAAAGCTCCTGCTTAAGGGCGTGCACATTTCCCTGCTTTGTCAGAGCTCCTAAGCCTTGCCCAGCACCTCGAAACCAGACTGCCACAATTCAGGAGGAGCCATCAAAAGCTGCCCAGAAAGGAGAGCAAAGAGGTTTTGTTTGCTTAATTAAAGCTGGCTTTGTAATGGAAATTATCATGGTTCATATCAAACAGCAATTAAGAAAGCAGGACATGACTGCTGGCGGTGCTCAAACCACGAGCCAAGCCTTGCCTGGACTCCAGCAAACCCAAATAATGATGAGTGAGCCCAGGATGCAGTTCGCTGCTCAGCGGTGTCAACCTGATTCTATCCCAAGCCTCACTACAGTTACATTTTCTCTTTGGGCCTAAATTTGTGCGATACAATATTGTCTCTAGTTTTTCCATAGTAAAAACAGAAGATCTTGAAAACACAACCCAAGTGTGTAGATAAGTTTTGAAACTGCCCAGCAACTAAAGAAGGATTTTTTTTTCCCTTAAAATTTCTCCATTTTTAATCCCACTTCTTGAGTTTTTAATGCTCCAGCCATGAACTTTGAGCTGGCAGCCCAGGGGCGAGGAGGAGGATGAACAGGGAGATGAAGGGCAGGAGGTGCAAGGAGCCCTTTGCTGAAAGCAAGACCACTGCTCCCTGCTAGCTCCATTAGCACAGCTTTCAGCCTAAACTAAGGTAAGTGCCAGAGCCAGGCTGAAGCCCCAGAGCTAAGCTGATTTACACCAGGTAAAATCCAGCTGTGGATGCTCACGTACCTGCCCACAAAATTCACATCAGCCCCTCACAACTCACTGGGCTTCGAGCTGTGCTGCAGCACTCCCTTTTCCATTGTACGGCTGTCGTCTGTGGCTTAAATCTCCACCACGTTTGAATGGACTGGGACAACATTTTTCAGGTCAGGTGCTCGCCTTGGGCTACGCGTACACCACCACGTATAGATGTGTGTGGATGTATGGCTGGGGGAAGGGGTGAGACTTCATATGAAGCAGCTCAGCTGTTGCTGCAGTCAGTGATGGTCAGAAATCTGAGGGTATGCATGAGGAGATGGAATAATCCACGCTCTCCCTCTCTCCTATGCAGGAACTAATTGTGGAGCCGAATTTTGCTCTCCTCCCAGCACAACCTGCCTCGTGTCTCCATCAACAGCACCATCAGCACCTCTCCACCACTACAGGAACGCTTCATTGCTGCTCAACAAGAGGAAATTACTGTCATTTAAACAGAAACGGATGGGGGATGGAATGGAAAGGGGGGTGTGTGAGAGAGAGAGGCTGATATAATGAAAAATGTGAAAACTTCTCAATAGCAAGAAATCCTTTAAAAATCATTACATATAATTGCTTAAAAAAAATCATCATCATTATAATTGAGGGAATCAAAGCATCTCTCTTCCACAGAATCAATCGTTGACCCACGGCACACGCTCACCTAACAAGCCGGTCTTTCTGCAGGCGGGGAAGAGGAAAGCAATTACTTCCACAGCCAGCTCGCCCATCACGGGAGGATCCCCACCGGGAGCCGGATCGTGTTCACAGCTCGTTGGGAAAGGGTCCAACTCGCCGTGCAATTATGCCTGAAAGGGTGGAGGTGTTCTGCTAACGATGTTCTCATGCCAGAGACCTTGTATCTTTCACTGAGGGACATATGGCAAGGATGAGAATCCAAGTGCCTCCGATATAGATTTAATTGACTCCATAAAGTTTAAACAAGGATTTAAATCTTTTCCAGGCCATCACAACTCCCCTTCTCATTTTCCTTTCATGCAGTCTCCAGGACATGCAGCAGCACCCAACAATAAGCTTACATCACATTAAATTGCAGCCCAAACAAACAAAAAAATCATTTGTTCCTATTCATTTGTGTCTGCTGGCACAAAGAGCCACCCTGCCATCCCCGTGCACAGTCACACACACAGAACGGAGCAGGCTTCAGACACGGATATTGAAAAGAGATAAGACAAAATGCATAAAGAATTAGAAAAAGCAGCTGATAGCTTTTGATGTGACTGGACTGGAAACTGTAATCTCAGCCTCTTGAGATGCCCTGGGTGCAGCAGGCACCCACCTGCGAGTTCCTAAAGTTGGGAAGCAACAGGAGCCACAGCTCCCGGGGGGCGGTGAGAGCTGGACCAGACACGGGGATGCAGCTGAAAGTAAACCCAAGTGAAAGCCGACCCCTTTCCACTCTGGGCCAGGTGGATCTTATCTCCGTGTCCATCATGGGGGATGGAAGAGGTGCATTTATCCTCCCCCTGCTGCACCAAGGGCTGGGTCCCTCCTGGCACCTCTCCTGGCAGTGCCACGCGCACCCCGCTGCGCGCAGGGCAGTACCGCAGGGTGCCAATGTCGTGAATCACACTCATTGTGGAGTCTCCTTGTCTTCATTTCAGGAGCCGCGGTGGCACACAAAAGCAGCCATAAAAGATACCAAGTGCAAGCGGAGATTACGTTAGGAAAAAAAAAAAAAACTGGCAATCAAAATAACCAACGAAAAACACCCCGAAAGCAGGAGACAAACAGCGAACGGGGAAAACACGTTCATGCAAACTGAAGTAAAGGCTCCCCGTGGACTGCAGAAGGCAACGAAAGAAATAAAAGGCTGCCTTTGAACCTTGTTTTCTCTTTTTAAGCTGCTGCTGATCTTTTTCCCCTCAAGTTTCAAACCAATACTCAGCACCACACGCACGCAAGACACTAAGTTGAGCATTCAGGACAGATAACCAACAGGTGAGCTAAGAAGGGTGGCCACGTGCCATGTTGCTGGATTACAGCTTATCAAAAAGGTTTGCCGATTCTAAACAGGGGCTGGAGCAAACACCAGGTCAGGGAAGAGGCCCCCCCATTCCACCTCTGGGAAACGTAGGCACTGAAGGACAAACTCGTTTCCCTCAGAGCTCCTTTCCAGTGTCTTTTCAGTGACAGAAATACGAGTCTCAGCCTGGGAAACGATGGACTCACCGGGAATTGTTGTGACTCATTAGTCTCACAGTGCTCTCCTGTAAGGAAATGCACCCAGGCAATACAAGAGGAAAAAGAAAACAGGCAGGTGCTGAAATGCTCACCTAAGGACGTTTCTGAGGAAGTGGCAGGATTTCTACACGGCAGAGAGCAGAAGTGAGTTTATCCTTTTCTCTGTTTCTGATGGAAAATCATTTTGTTTAAAGCCTCTGTACCTCCCCAGGCCCTCAATCAAGCACCACAAGGTGGGACACCAGACCACACCAGGTGCTCAGGTGAAGACTAAAAAGGTCAGCTGTGACCCCTGGTACATCTGCAGTCAACCAAAAGGCAGAAAAACAAAGAAGAGGTTTAAAATAATTAGTGGTTCTCCTTTGATTTAACAAAGGGAAAGGAGAAGAGTCTGTGTGTGTGCTCTGCCTTCGGGAAGCTCAGCAGCCTCAGCTGGAGGTTCAGCCCTGGGGTTCACCACCCCACCCTGCCCTGCCTTCCCGTCCCACGGCACTGGCTGCACCACTCGAGCATCTCCCTGCACATGAGCTCTGCCCAGCACTCCTCCTCGGTGACAACACGTGCAGGTCTGTGCTCCATTTCCATCAGAAATCCTAATGATTAACCGCGTCAGGCCTAAGTTCCGCAAATCTAAAGGAAGGTGCCTCGCATCCTTCATCCTCCCTTCCCGTGTCAGAAATATAAAGTGAGGAATGGAGGCAACCCCGGCACATTTTTCAGACCCTTCAAAACCTGCCCGGGAAGCTCATCCATCATTCACTCGAAGCGACCAAAGCAGAAGTGTCTGAAGCGAAGCAGCGCAGGGCAGCCCTGCCTCCTCCTCCCCAAAGCACCGCGCTTCCAACAGCCTCCCTGTTAAATCCCCGCTGCTCCACGTGCAAGGTTAAACAAGGGGCCTGCCTCCATCACCTGCCCATCTGGGAACCTGATGGAAGAAAACCTCTTCTCTAGGCAGGGGCATCCTATTCCAGCTGCCTAATTTCTCCCCATGAGAAAGCCATAAGAGGGTGCACAGCGCTAACTGATGTGAGAGACTGGAGACACCAAGCAAGGGCAGCAGCTCAGGTCCCCATTGAATAAATTTGAGGGACTCCGAGCATACAACCCACAAACCAAAGGAAAAAGTGCAAAAAGGGGGCAAAAATCAGCAGAGCCCCATATCGAAACACGAGTGGCACAACCTGATGCTCCCTTCTGATATAGATATAAAAATACACATTTCTTCAAGTAAGATACAAAACCAAAAAAATCAGAGCCCAGGTAAGAGGAGATCCCTCACTCAGCACCATCCCACACGGTGCAGCTCAGCCAGCTACCCTCTGCTCCGATGTGCATCCAAAGGAAGGCACCACTTCAGGAGAAGTGAAGCAAAGACCACGCTGTTTGTTGCCAACACATTTTGCACATTCTCATTTTAAACACACGCACACAAAAAGCTTCGAGAGGAGCTGCAGCACTGAAGGAGCCTCCCCCCAGTAACTCCATTATCCCCAAAGTCATTTTGCAACAGAAGATTTTTAGTCATTACTGCTTTCTTTTTGGAAGGATCGAATTCTCAACTAAACGTTATTTTTATGGAAAAAATAATTGCATCATTATTATTTCCACTTAAATACGTTCTTGCAGAGCTTCAGGGCAGCTCCAGTTTCCTTCTCTCCTATCCTCATCTTCCAGGGACAGAGTAACCTTGTAGGCAGGACCTGCGTTATTGTGCAACGCGCTGAGGCAGAGCATCATTTTCTTCCTCATTTTGTTTTGCTTTTCATCAGAATGTTCTGCGGAAAAAAAACATTTTATTTTAATTGCTTCTGCTAGGTCACAGACAGAGGCAGCTTCTCTGTGCACTGATAAGGAACAATCAGAAACCTGGGAGGGACGCTCTGTGACAAAATCAAAGTCCTGAATGTTTGACATTTTCCAGATTCGCTGAAAAAAAAAAAAAAAAGGAAATCGGCCACAAACGTACGTCTTTTAGCTAATATATGACGAACTGTGCAATAGCAAGAATCCGGAGTAATGTTTTGCTTCCTTTGAAAAAACATTTCTCCTAGACAAGGAATTTTGATGAAAACATTTTTAGCAGACAAATGGCCTTTCTGCGAGCTACGAGCCATGCAGCACATTAAAGGGGGCTGACTCCTGGCTTTCTCACTGGGGCTTTCTACAATTTTCTTTCGCTTTCATTTCAAATAAAGGTCAACACGTATAGAGAAATATTGGAGCTGCTCTCTGCATGTGGGAAAACGGAAAAGAAAAAAAAAGCCCTACAGCTGTCACGGCTCTGGCAGAACAATCGATGAATTAAACGCTGTCTGTGTCTGACAAGCGCCTCCCGGTCCCGCTCCGCGGTCTGGGCTCCTGTGGGATGCCCACAAAGTTTGCTGCAAGAAATAACAACCCTGCCCTGACAAGGCAAACCCTCCAACTCCTGATATCTCTGGCAGAGCCATAGCCAGCAGCAGGGAGTCCCCTGCTGCCAACGAACACCCCACACTTGCCACCGGGATGTCCCACTCTGGGTATGTCCCAGCCCCACGTTGCTGGAACCAAAATGTGGGCAGCACTGGCCCCCAAACCACATTTCCCTGCTGCCAGAGAAGGGCATAGACAACCCCACATCCCTGTAGGAACTGGGAAATCTCAGCCAGCTCAACGCCCTCCTCAGCCTGCGCCTGCCAGGGAGCACCTTGTAGGAAGATGCCGCCGAGAGGCACGAGGAGGGTTTGCGTTTTGGGTGACAAGCAGACAGATTTGATTCAGCCTCAGGCAGCTACAAGCTCAAATATCCCTGAATGAAGACATCAGCAGCCTCACGGAGCCGGGTGAGCTGTCGCCAGGTGGATCGTTACCCGCACCTCCTTAACGAGCGGAGAAGCAAAGGCTCGAGGTGGCAGAGTACAGAGGACCGAGCCGTGCCTCTGTTCTGTGAGCTCAGCTTTAGACAAAATCCAATAATTAATTTCCACCCTGCAAACAAAGCTCCTTGCCATTCCATCCCACTAAGCTCAATACCACTTTCCATTTCATTTCCTCTGTGCCCAGGATGTCCCTCGCTTGCTTCGCCCCGCAGTTAATTACTGTCACACAGCCCCCAGTCCTGCAGGGCTGATTTTTTTTTTTTTCCAGCCACAATTCACAGCAAGTGCAATGCAGCCAGCTCCCCCAGGTCCCGTTCTCACCCCTCAGACATTGATGTGTGTGTCAAAACCCTCTGAGGACGTCTCCAAGCACCGAGCCAGGACATTTACCTGGAAACCCCCCCCACTCTCTCCAGAGAAGCCACAGCTCCCCCATTCCTATCCTCCCCAGCCACGAATTCCCCAGCAGATAAAGCAGGGGCTGGGAACATGCTGCATGCTTCTGGCAAGGGCTAGGCGAGGACACCACCGCCTGCCTATTGTCAGCAGAAGCACGCTCAGGTCACGATGAATTTTCCTCCTTTTGGCACCTGTGTTGACGAGTGCTCCAGCTGCGTGTGCAGCACCGCCAGCGCCCGGCTCCGCTGCCGAGCCCGAGTCAGACGCAGTGGTTGTGGCTGTAGCCCCCAGGGGAAGAGCAGTGACAGGGGCACAGCCTCACTGCTACGGGGACTTTCCATCCCCTCCAGCCCAGCCGTGTTCTCGTTCCCCAGGTCTCTGAGAAGAGACAACCTCGGTCCTGCAGCAGCCCCAGGATTTGACGCCCCGGCACAAGGGGACAACTCGCTCCCGGCACGGCCTCAGCTGGCGCCCCTGGCCACGGCTCTGCAGCCACGCGTGTGCCAGCTGCTGCCTGGCAGCACAGCACAGCCCCTGCAAACCTTCCTGCTGGAGGTCTCAGTTGCTACAGACGTGCGAGGTGGAGGACAATTCATCAGGCGGATGGGTTAACTCAGCCACGGAGAGATGCAGACCTGCAGGGCACGGATGGGCAGTGAATACATTGCCCAACGGGGGCAAACTCCTCACCTTTTCCATGCGAGGCAGCCTCCAAGACACAGCCGTGCTGCCTCTGGATATGAAAATCAAACCAACCAGATGGCTACGCTGTCAAATTTGCCACCAGAGGGAGTTACGGCAATAGAACAAAACACACTTAATTGACAACACGAAAATGAAGCAAAGCGCTGAAGATCCTGAATTCAAGAAAAGCACCTTTTTTCCTCCACACCAGTCCTTCCAAGCCCGTGGACAGCAGCAGGATGAACGTCCTGGCCCAGCAGCTGCACAGATCTGCAGGGACCAGAGACCCACATGGCCAGGAGGTGGTACACGCTGCCACAGCAGTCCTGTGCAGGACCAGAGCACCACGAACCAGCTGGGCTGCAAGCAAAACCCCACAGGGGCAAGCCTAGGTAAGCTGGTGCTGGCATCGTGTTAAACTTGAGGAGTTTCTCTCTGGGGATCCTTTTAGCAAGAGACCTCACCACGTGCCCAAACACCACGTGGATGCCTCCAGGAAGGTGCTGAGTTCTCCTGTTTTGGTGCCACGCAGTTGTGCCCGACTGCTTCATCCTCATCCAGAGTCCCCCCTGTTCCTCCTCAGACTCCTGCACTGCTGTCCCAGAGGGATTCCCTCAACCGTGCCCAGCACTGCGGAAATCTGATCACAGGGGCCTTGGGATACTGCTGCGATACGGCTCATAAATAATAATTAGTGGAGGAAGCATAGGGCAGAACAGCAGGAATGGGGTTTTCCCATCACCGACTCCATGAAACTGTGCTCAGCAGTCACATATAAGGCTGCTCTGCAACATCAGACCAAGACCTACCCCAGGAGAAATGCTGGTTTGGGGTATAAAGACAGGGTCAGCCACCAGTCCTCGTTAGATGCAGCTGGAAAAAGCTGGGCTGGGCGTGAAGGGAAGGTGGCCTGCGGGAGTATTCTGGGTCTTAGAAGGTGAATTGCTTGGAAAAAAAAACAAACAAACACACAGAGAGATGACAGTGTTGGTTGCTTATTTCCATTTCTAAGGGAAACCAAATGCATTCTACTAACAATTGCAGAAGCACATTATTCACGTATTTATTTCAGGTTGAATAATGACAAGGGCACGGATGCCAGGCTGTAAGCAGACCCCAGATAATTCTCCTTGTGGAACGCCAGCACCACCAGATAACTAACCTGGCTGCAGCCCTGCTTGAGACAGGGTGGCCACGAACACCCCAGCAGCCGCAGAGCCACGTTCATTCATTGCCAATGTCCTCACAAAGCAAGGCTCAGCTCTCAGAGCCACCCGGCGATCTCCAGCGGAGCTGCCGACTCACGTCAGGCTGTTGGGGTTTGATGCGTCAGCAGGAACGCTTCTCCCAGGTCAAGAGGCAGTCGCTCATCGAAATAATTGAGTGCCTCTGCGACTGCCAGGGTCAGACACTTGCTGGAGAAGGGGCACAGGCAGGGTCAGGTCCCTTCTGCTGCCTGGCCTGGAGCTGGAGCAATGGAGCCAGCAGTCAGGACACCCCAAGCCAGCCCGCGTGCCCCCACAAACGGCCTCTGCCCCACGGGCAGCACGTCTCCTGGCTCAGCTCGAGTCCTAACACACTGTGAAAGCTCCCTCCCAAGTCCAGCTCGCGCTGGAGTCAATAACCCTAAACACCCGCCACATGGAAATTCTCTTCTCAAGCCCCAGGTAATAATTCCAGCATTTCCGAAATAAAATATCAGACTAATGACATAAATCACAGGGAGGAAAACTGAATCCCAAGGATTCCAGTTCTGTGCCCCAGCAATAACACCTTTATCTTCCAAGCTGGGTTTTCACCTGACGATGTCCTGGGCCAAACAGAACCCAATTGCTTCTCGCGTAGCTCCCAAGAAGGAGGGCACACAGGTGTCTGGCCACCGACCTGCCTGCTGACATCCATTCTGCACAGAAAACACAAAGCAGGGAGATGCAGGATAGCAGGGAAGGAAGCACGGTGAAGCACATCATGTGTGTGGTGGAACTGAACCAAACCTTTGCCCAGCACGGAGACATTCTGCAATTATTTAGCACAACAAACCAAAGCACACAACATACCCTCTGGGTAAAATCCAGAAGAAACGCGCTCATCTCCAAATGTCATCAGCTGGAAGAATATTTGCATCCCTACCCTGTATCTTTATCAGCAAAAGGACCTTAAATCAAATTAAAAAGACCTCTTGCCCTACTGTAGCAGTACAGGGAATTAAAAGGAACCCCGTGTGCTGTGCACGCCCTCAGATGTTCTTTGATGTGCTCATTAGCAGCAGCAGCTCCGAGTTCAGAAAGCTTTCCCAGAGAGAAAACGACTCCACGGGACTGCCAAGAGCAGGGTTTGTTTTCTTTGGGACCTGCTGCACTCGGGGACAGGCTCTGGTGGTGCACGAGCCTCAGCAGCGTCCGACTGCCTCTCCAGCTCCAGCAGCAGGCAGCAGCAGGCCCCTTTCCAGGAAAATCAGAGGCGCAGGCACGCTGCAGCAGATTAGCAGCAGGACGAGGAATCAAGCTCGCATCCCCTGACTCATCTTCCACGTCCTTCACCAGAACCTGAGCTTCCTCACAGCTTCCTCGCTGTGCTTTTTGGAGGCCTGGGCTCCAACAGCAGCTGCTGGGAAGGCACAAGTGTACGTCACCACCACCACTGTGAGAACAGCAGGGCTCAGCAGCCCTCGCTGGCAAGAGGTGGAACATCTCCATGGGCTTCCCTCCACGGAGGGGACGGAGGCACCTCTTACCTCCTCCTTCGGTCCACCTAGGGCTGATCTCTCCAGCTGCTCGTCCCCCTGGCACTGCAGGACCCCAGCTCTTCGCTCCTGGAGCAAACATCTGGATTCAGACGAGCCAAACCCCACTCATGGTGTCAACAAAACCTGATTTCTTGCACTGCTGGTTGACCACGGGGACACAGCATCTCCCTTGGTGACCCACCTGAGGCAGCAGCCCATGGCCACGCTGGCCACGCATTAGCCAGCCACGTTGCTGGCTCCGT